TGCACTGCACTTTTTGGTCCTTTAGACTCCCCACTAAATTTTAGATGGATGTATCATGTAACTCATACTAACAATAGAGTATTATCCTTGACAAGAACACGCTCTCACACGAAGATTCAAGTGTCATCGAAAAACCCCTCAGATCAGTTCCACGATGATGAAAAGCTGAAAATTTTCTGAATGAAGCTTAAGGATTAGAAACAGCAGATAACATGTGGGCTTCTCGAATTACTGGTTTACTGAAAGAGGCAGAGTGGTTTTGAGAAGCCTCTGCAACATATCATGTAATACAAATTAGCCTAGATTATGGTCAGCGCAAATGCATATGAAAAAGGAGTGAAATACTAACAAAACGATTCAGTAAAAATGGAAAATCTCCTAGATTGTTCTATAATTTATTAAAGTTCTAATTTATGAAACAAATCAATGCTGGCAGTAGGCTGAGGTGGCAATTATCAGCATTGAGTGGCGAGCTTTGGGAATGCAGTGTGATAGAAGTCGATTGGCGAGGCGGAGCCGAACACATTACATCTGGTTAAACACTACCAGTAAAATTCCTTAAAGGCGAGCAACATAGAAGGCGTCGCTGCTTTTTGATTAACGCCCGTCTCCAGAGCGAAGGGAGAGCCAGCTCAGCAAAGAAGACCTGCCCTCATTTCCTTTTATAGAGGAAAAGCACACTTAGGAAAAACGCTTTTGATCTCTTTGAAGGTATCTGTTGGCTTGTGCGTGAACTTTTTATGGGAGCAGATTTTCCATTAGATATTCATAAGCTCTGAGGAGGTAGTATTGTTTGAATGCGTGGAATCGTCCGCCTTTCTAGACTTCTGTGTCTCTGCCGTAGACACAAAAGTAGTTCACTTCTGCAGAGAAGATCCACCTAACTTCATACGGGAGGGTACTGAATCCTATACGCTCACTGTGCCCTAGAAGCAGTAGAAGTATTCAGAAAGTATATAGAAGAAGCGTGAGCAGTCAAAATCAAAGCGCAGTTGTTGAGCGGGGCGTCGTTAAATGAAAAGCCTCCTCATAAATTCATCATGAGCTGGATCAACACTTGCAGGGTGCGGCGTTTTTTGAGCGTAATGTCGACAAATGGGTGGTAATGGTCAAGGAAGAAAGAATTGAGACAGGAAGAGGTTGAGGTGGGTATTACAATGTTCGGCGTGCCAACAGAGAGCGTGTAGATGAAATCGAGCGTCGAAAGGCGAGTGCAGAAACTGAACCAATTTTGGACTTACCCGCGAGAACGGTATCTCTGCTAAAATGGTGGACAGAAATGTGTTTAAGGAGTTGAAGACGGTCAGGTAGATGTGTGTGTAGGTATCCCAGTTTCCTAAATAAGCAAAACTTGCAATGGAAGTGATGCCTGCAGTAATGATCTTCTCCGCTGCTGAAGTCACCCGCAGTGTTGGTTTTAGGCGAATGGATTCGCACACTGGACTTGAAATTCGCAAACGTCAGGTTTGGATGGTGCAGACGATGAGGCTCCAATAATAACTTACGCAGAGTTACGTGGTTCTAAGGGGACGGACACTCAATGTGGTTATAGAAATCGCCCTTCGATTGATGTCACGTCAGACGAGTGTAGAGACGATATAGATTGCAAATATTCGCGTCAGGTCCCACGCACAATCAGCTGATCACCGAATAATGAGACGATGTTTATCCTCCTTATCCTTCATTCTCTATTATACTTTTTGCTGCTGCGATCCATTGTTTAGTTTTCTATCACAAAAGGCTAAGAAAGGTGGGTTATTTTTGCTGTTGCTACGGATATTTTTGTTAATTTATGTTTATGAGTGAATGGATTTTTGCTTACCGTAGTCAGTTATTTGCACAAAGGCCCACACGTACGCGGTGACCCACATTGTGTAGCTCGTCCGAACGCCCCACTCCTTTTCATTCTTCTAGTCTCATTCTCGTCCACCGTTTTAACGTTATCTCGAAGGTCTTTTTCACTTTGCTAACACCGATCCACGCAGTTCCTTCGCCTTCATCGCACAATTTTCCATCTTATCTTCCATTTTTCGTCATAATTTGGACTACCCAAAATTATCGTAAACTGTGCCTTTAAATCGAAACAGAACGTAGATGTTGATGCTTGCATTGATATGGAAATATCAGTCTGAAAAAGGTAGTAATCGGAAAGGCACAAATGCGGAACGATTTTAAAGTGTGAAGTCAACGTACCCGAGGTATTTTCTGCAGCACGGTAGGGCTGCCTGGGGGATCATACTTCGAAATGCTGGCGCCTGATACTTGAAAAATAAGCACGGCCCAACGCTGTTGGAGCTTGTGTAGTTGTCTCAACTTCCCTGCGTAAAAGCTGCAGTTGAAGTTTGTTATTTCATTCCAAATCTTATAAGAAATTCCCATAACGATTGTAGCTTATCATGGGTTTCTCTAATCTTGCTTATGCAAACCAATACTTAATGCGAAAAGTGATTGATGAGCATAGATCGGATTGCTCGAGAGCAGAATCGTCGAGATAGATTGCATTTTTCAGACGTCAATTGCTCTGTTCGAAAAAGCTCATTTTTACTGCGGGAATGTCACAAACCCTCCATGCAGGGATTTGAGCCAAGGGGCCGCTCTCGTTGGCATCTCAGCCTTGTAAAAACACTTCAATTTGTGTGATAATAATGCTTGCAAAGTCCACTAGGGTAGCTTGAACCTCTTTTGTATTGTACTAGATCAACGGTTCCGGTTACAGCATGGGTTCATCACCTCGAATATCTGCCGCGCATACGCAATGATGCGCGTAGCATGACGTTTACAACTTTGCTTTCTTCTTCATTTTTTTTTCTTCTCAAAAGTTCAACCCCTAGGCAACGGTCCGAAGTTATAATACATTCGATCAAAGTCAGCAAATGGGCATCAATAGTCGATTTTAATTACATATTATGTAATAGTATATTTGTTAGAGGTTCTGTCCAGGATCGAATATACTGCTGTTTACATTTTGAGGGACAACTGACTGACGGTATGTTTTCCATGATTGCTGATTGGAGCAACGGATCCAGTCAACTTTCAGCCAAAGAACAGCTATGCACCATCGGATGTGTTTCTACGCTTTTAGAAACCTTGGATTACAAAGACCATAATTTCTACATACTACAAACACGCAGAGTACCTACCAACTTTAAAACAACAACAGCAACAACAACAACATGTTCCTGAACAACGAGCACTTAACCAAATTCGGCTCAGACTAACAGGACCTTCCATCTTTCTGATATCTGTCACCAGTTGGGCTATGCACGCTAACGCCTGTGTTATATGTCCATGACCCCTCATCTACGATGGAATCATTCAGCTGAATGTTGGATTACCGGAATAAGATGACTCTTTCTATATTTCAAACCATTTTGAGAGCATCACGTTCGATAGATTTCATTCGGTCAGTGGTTGGTCGTAGCCCCGTCCACTTCAGTGCAGACCCCTCCTATAAAACTGAACATCCTTCTTACAACTTCCCCTAACCATTTTTTCCGCATTCCAGAAAGTCTAGAAAGCATTCAAACCGATTTATTAATTTTCGATCGAGTTCCGCCCAACCCTGTGCAAACTCGGCCAGAGTCAGAGAATTGAACATCTTTTTTCTACATATTATAACCACTTTTTTCCCCTCATTCTAGAGCTTCGACGGACAGATGTATAAATTTTTGGTCTCGGTCACCCTCGTTGCAAACCCCGCCCACTTCTGAATTTTGACCACATTCCCTTTACTACCTCTAGACACCTTTTTAACTCGTTCCAAAACGTATCTGAACAGACTTATGAATTCTTGATCTAAGCCCCGCCCACCTCAGTGCCAACCCCGCCCACTTCTGGAGACTCACAACATTTGTTCTACAACATCATTCAACTTTTTTCCGCATTCCGGAACGTTTCTGAATAGAGTTATAAGTTTTTGATCTAAGCCACGCCCACTTCTAGGATTTGACCACATTTGTTTTATTACACCTTACCACTTTTTTCCCACATCCTAGAGCTTTTCTGAACAGAGTTATATTTATTTCTTAACAGCAGTTTCCATTTCAACGCACGCCCTGTCCAATGTGGGCGGAGCTTCGCTAAGTTTATGCGTGCCGAGCACGTATAAGGCCTTGCTCACTCCCTTTATCGCGAGAACGATCCGCCCACCATCGGTGAGTCCCCCTCAATTCATTTGTTGACCTATCTCTCTGGCTTATTTTTTCTTGGCGTCTGGACTGTTAGGAGACCGAGGGAGAAAGACTTGCCCAAGACACCGCACACTTCTGTGCATGTCCCCCATCAGTGAGAGGATCTCCGTTGAGCTCACTTGTTGGCCATGCCCTCTTTCTCTCTCGGTTTCGCTCAACCCATTTCAAACTTGACCCGAACTGTTCAGGTGTTCCTTCAGGTAGTATCGAATTTGTAACAGACTATTACCCATCATTACCCCTCAAAGCGTCAACGACTGCGGCAAGGTCCAAACATGTAGTCCTAGCGTTAGTTCATAGATATACTCACTTCATCATGAGAAGTATTATGTCAGAACACAGAAAGTTTCATGATTACATTCCGAGAGGCAATAGCGAGTTTATGCATGAAAACAACCGAGTAAGTTATCAGTTTCAGTTATTTGCCCGTAATAAAATTAACATTCTACAAAACGCTCGAGAGAACGCTAATGAGTTTGGCTGAAACAGAAAGATCTGTTCTCTGAAATAGAAAGATCTGTTGAGAGAGCATCTGCCAACATCCTTATAAGACGGGATTCGTAAGTCTACGTGAACCGGAACCAGTGCAAAGAGAGTTCACATAACTTCCCTTTGACGGAAAAAAAAGTTTCTACAAATCTCCACCCGATCTACTAAGTTTAGCAACAATATTACTCCCATTTTCGAGTTGTTCTCAAGCTGTTGGCAGAGGCCGGACCAAATAAGTAAAGCACTTAATGAGCTCTGAAGAGAGATTTCCTTAAGAAGATATTAATTACATCACGATGAGGCGTGATCGTTGATTGATTCTCATCCAACATGATTGAGTGACTGCTTTACAGCTGTTTGTACGAGATCACCGGTGAAATATTCGTCCAATTTGAAGTACGTCATTACTCGAAGGTAACGTTCGTGGAATGTAAGCCTAAACTATCCAGGTTGGAAGAAAACATTACTGAGTTCCAGTGCAGAGACAGTATATGAATACTAACCTTGGACTTTTTATTTGAACTCCTTGCATCGTAGGCATAACGATACCAATCTGGAGGATTTCGGTTAACAATTTTTCCAAAAATTCGGCCCCAAATAATCCAAGATCTCCGAAGGATGCTTGGTCAACATCGTTGATCTGAAAGAGTTCAAATCAGAGTCAAAATCGAATTAACTGGGATGGGTAAAAGTATCTAAAGGTTCATGAGTCAACGATCTCAGGAGGCGTGTTGTATGCTGATTTTTTTCCAACACACCAGCTCATTAATCTTCCTCTAAGTCTGGGCTGCGTCACTCCCAAATTGGACGAGAAATCGCTCGCAGCGACTATTTACGATTTTGGACTATAGAAAGCGCAAAAGTCTTTGGACCTTTTGCGCTTTTTTTCAAATTTACTTTTTTCCTCACAACAACTAACTATCAATAAATATATGAACCATCAAGGTACAGTCGAGGTATTGCAATTATCAGGCAACTTATGGACTCTGCTTGACTAAAATTCCTGAGGTTTCGAGGAGAAAAACTCGCCGATGCACGTCTGCAGTTGGTTTATGTAGGTGATAATCCGTTAGAGCCAGGCCTGGTGGGTGGGCCAGAACACGCCATCCCAAGCTTTGAAGTTCTTTCTGGGCCTCCTTCGAAATGTGTGGGCAAGCGCTGACAAGGAGAAGGTAGACTTTCCCCTGTTTCTCTCGTAGATCTGTAGCAATCCGGTCCATAGAGTATGCAAGCTTCATTTTCGGAATTTGGTGGAATGAAGTCCGCGTGAACTATCCTTCCAAATGACTTCGAGCGCGTAGCATTGCGTTTTGAGGTAGGGGTTCTGGTTTGGAGGTCGAGATTACACGCTGTATGCATCCAAGCCACTGGAGATTCGGCGGCGGTTTGCATAGGGAACACACCACACTTCTCGTCGCCGGTGATTAAGTCTTCCGTGAGAAAGGTGCGTCAGAAAGTCAACATTTTCAGCCATGAATCAATCTTCATTTGGAGGTGGTGACCGCCAGGTCACAACTTTTTCATATATCCGAATCTTCATGTTTCCGAGGAGTTACAAATGGGCAGCTGTTGAGTCTGATGGCCACTGAGCTCCTCTCCCAGCTGGTGGGTACTAAATCAGAAGAGAGTCCTCATTCAGCTCAGCTGGTCTCCCAGATCATGGTTCTTCGGTCTAGTTGAAGTGGCTATTTTTGAGCTTGTGGTACCAACTTCTTGTTGTGTAGTGAGAGGCAATGGAGGGTCCCATCGCATCGCATATTCCCTTTGCCGCACGATTTTGATTGACGTTTTTCTGAACATGTAAAGCAGAAGCTGTCCAACTTGCTTTGAGTCGAGAGCGATCATCCCAGCCTTAAGTGTTGTGAAATGCCACGGCAGATATGGTGTGAAGAGCGCATTGACCTACACTTACATATGTTCCGCAATGAAGGTGTCGAAACAGGCCCCAAAGATTTTACAACATGGAAACCACAATGTGCAAAGACTTTCCGCCAACCCAATACATTAAATAGAGTGGACATTGGTCACACTAGATTAAAGTAAAAACTGTGGCTATGCATGTAGGAATCTGTGCATACATACATACATACATACATACATACATACATACATACATACATACATACATACATACATACATACATGGGGCTACAGTCGTATACATACATGTGCATGCGACGATACGCAGCAGTGCAGACTTATAACTCGCACTAATACCCCACAGTAAATGTCAGTCATAAAGTTCCACCAGCTCCGATGTCTTTTTCCTTCTAGTTCTACTAATGAGCGTTAGTCACCATGATCAATGTGGATGTGCGCGAATATGACGATACTTATACCTGAGCTTCCATCATCGACTTAAAGATTTGCTGTGCGATCCTCAATTAATTCAGTGCAGGGATAACATCGAAATGCACCTGCTGAATGAAGTTATCAATCAACTTTGTCTTCTTTACCTTAGTTTCAAGCAGCTTGAAATCGAGGTTTTCAATTGTTGCATTACCGACAATGCGTGTGCTATTAATCCACATGATTACATTGGCCGTCATTGTAGTGTCCGATCGTATGATCTGCAAGAAATTCGAAGTGTTACAGTGTGTGCTAGAGACAAGAAAGCGACTAACAAGGGAAGGATCCAAAGTCGAAGTGGCCATTTGAAAGGAGACCTATACTGCTAAACGTATTTTTTGATGCTGATTTCAAATCTGCATTCAAAATCTGCCAAATGATTCTCTAAACGAAT